GGTCAGAATAATCATGTGGGCATCCCTATAATTACGGTCCCTATAATTACGATTCCTATAAAACTGCGAAAAAATTGCGACAGTATCCGTAAAAACCCGTAAAAAACTCCTATAATTACGTAAAACGTCATCGGGCAGCCGAACTACTTTCCCACCGTCCGTAGCGCCACGCTACGGAGATTTTACGCTAACTATCGTCTGTACTCCATATTATGAATTTTATATGCACTTTAAAATACTTGGGAGAAAAAAATTTATCATCTTATAAATGCAATTTATATACATATTCATTCACATACAAGAAATGATAGGAAGTTTAATGTATAGCTACTTCAGGTTAATAATCATTATCATTAAGGAGTGACAATAAGGTTCTGTAGGAAAGTACATTCAAACACTAGAATACACTACCCTACAATAACGGACCGGACAGCAAGATGTGATGGCATAAGGTAAAGAATACATGATTTAATAGGAGGAGGGTCCCCCACATTCTGCAATTACACTAGCAACCCTTTTGGGCATACTTTCAACAAGGTTTTGGTACACAGCAATGGATATTTGTGTCCATTCTTGCTTCAAGAATGTTGCCAGCTCAGTTGTAGACTTTGGACGTGGTTCCCTAGTCCGTAAGCGTCGCTCTAACTCGTCCCACAAATGTTCTATTGGGTTTAGGCCGGGACTCTGAAAAGGCCAGGGAAGACGGTTGACATCCGTATCTTGATACCACTGCTTGACAGAGGCTGCAACATGACATGGAGCATTGTCGTCCCGGAAGTAACATTCATCCATTCTATAAAATTGCCAGAGCATAGAAAGAACCTGATTGTCCAAAATATTCATGTAGGCTTAGGCATTCAATTTACCAGGAACAACATGCAAAGGTCCCAGGCCATACCATGAAAAACACCCCCAAACAAGAACACCACTAAACTTGACAGGAGTCTGGTCCATTACTTTAGGGTAGTGAGTGTAAGTACAAATTAATTAATTAAGAAACTATTGCTTCCAACAAATTGTTTTTAGAGTAGACAGAATTTATCAATATGCAAATATTAAGATCTTTAAATATTAATTATAGATAACAAAATTGTCTTAAAAATCAACCATATAAATACGATTTCACAATCTTAATTGTCTAATTTAAATTATTTTACTTTCGTAAAAAATTTGACTTGTTTCATATCAATCTGAAGATATCTTATTTCTTTATACTTACATTAGGCCAGCATATAATTTTCAATTTCATTGGTTTAAATGTTATTAGAAATTCTTTGTAAATTGTCCATACCAACAGAAATTGGCAAAATAAAATGGTAGAAATTATTATTCCCGTTACATTAGCCAAGTGATTCAGATTAAAAAGTCATATTTTCAACATAATTTCATATTTAAAAACGTAATACAGGGAGTGTCAAAAGTCACTTAACACCCTTATAAAATCAAACTGAGTTGGGCAGGGAAATTTTGATTTTATATGGGTGTTAAGAAAGTTTTAACTAACCCTGTATATTAGACTGATGTTTCATAATAAAAATAACACGTTAATAACAAATCTTAGAAAAAAGCACGATACATTATTAATATAAAGATATGCTTATTTGATAGTAGTTAAAAAGAAAGAGCTTGGGAAAAAAAACTTATTTCTTTGGTAATTTCATAACTGAATCCAAACAAATCTTATCCAAATAGTAAAATCTTATTAACTGAGATGGATATCAAAATTAATAAAACATTCTAATACTCCGGCTAAATCGTGCATGTTTTATCTTTAAGATCAAATGTGCGGATGCAAATAGCCAATGTTTCAAATTATAAAATAGCCAAAACTACAGGATTTCTTATTTAGAATTACTTAAATAATAATTAGACAGATTAAATGATTAAAAGTTTCTAATCGACAGGAAAGATCTAATCAGTAAACTAAGCAAACTTAATATCTTAATTTTTAATAATGTTTGTTTGATTCAAACCTTTCTTTTCAACATATGCTTTTCTAGATTAGATATAGAAGTTTAAAAGAATCTGAAAAAGACCTAGAAAATGTTGATTTCATTTGCAAATTAAATAGTTTAGATGAGTTTGCATACTTCAAATTCATTTATAATTTGCAGCTAAATTCAGAAAAAACTGATAGTTTTTAATAAATGGTTTAGTATTGAGTATATAAATAAATACTATGTTACTTAAAGTATTTGTTAATTTTTCAATCTAAGTATAGTCAGCATCAGGACTTTGTTAATTTAAACTATGTAAAAACCTTTATACTGTATTAACTAAGGCATTTGACTGCTATAAAAAGAAACTCGATTCTCTTAGGATGTGTTTTACAAAATTCATTTAAACTTAGAGTATGCAAATTAAAACAGATACCAATTTGTACAGTAGACCCCCCTATAATTACGATTCCTATAAAACTGCGAAAAAATTGCGACAGTATCCGTAAAAACCCGTAAAAAACTCCTATAATTACGTAAAACGTCATCGGGCAGCCGAACTACTTTCCCGCCGTCCGTAGCGCCACGCTACGGAGAGATTTCTATCGTCTGGACAGTATTATATAAATTATATATAAATTAGGTACTGTACATATAATTATATATTAATTATATATAAATTAGGTACTGTATATATAATTATATATTAACTTATTGTAACTTTGTTATAATTAAATATATAATTTCCGCCGTCTAGCGTGGCGCCACGCTACGGAGATTTTTACGCTAACTATCGTCTGTCAGTATGTAAATTAGGTACCGTAAGTCTAATACAGTACTGTAATTTTATACATTTCTTGTGAAAGAAACATTTCTTATTCAACGGCGATTAAAATTATTTATATTAATGATGTCTCCGAAGTTCTACGAAGTTTTCACAGAAAAATAAGTTGTTAGAAATCGGCCGCTATTTGCTGAGCTGTTCCGCGACGAAAACAAGCTTTAGCAATGGGGATGTCTAATAGCGCACACTCAGTAAGTAATCCTACAATTTTTTGTTTATAGCGTAGTTTATACGGATTATTTCCAAAAAAAATATACATATTTTGAAAATGTTGAGTTGGATTAGTCTAGAATCGATTAATTTTATGGAAGAAAACCTTTCAATCAGCCATAGTCCGTAAACTTGACACGTGTCGGGCTGTGATTGGAATGACTCGTAAGAAATCGGATTCCTAAAAAATGGAACGTATCTATGATCTTATAGGGGGACTGTATATAGTTATTTTACTACTGGCATAAATATCAGAGGACTTAATAAATCGTTTAAAACAAAACAATGACAGAAATTAAAGACATTTAAGACATTTATGGTCTTCAATAATTCTCTTATAAATGTGATATTTATCCCAATTAATATAGAAATTTATAGTTTGATAAATAAATAGTAATATTCGAAAGTCATATTTCAATCTAACATAAGATTGAGTATTCATTACGGGAATACTAACAGTAACATCCCACAGCTACATTATTAGTAAAAGACTGAAACTACTATGTAGTTTTTGATTAAATAAGAATATATAATTATTGTTTGAATTACTTTTACTAAATAATGACTAAACCATATTTAAACTGAATTAGTGAAATATAAAACAGTTAAAATCTTATCTTAACTGAATTATCATCATTATTCATTAAAATTTAATGTGTAATAAAATAGTATCTTTTGTTCTAATATCTAACCACACTAGTAAAGCTTTAACATAGTGGGTATTAAAATGTAACATCAAACTGGACTGGAAAAATGCCATTATTATTGAAGGTTTAACAAACATCTGCTCAGTCAGGTCGTTGATGAGCTAAATGAACAGTTTGGTTGATGCACACGGCTGATTAATTCCTACAATCTGCTCATAGATTTAAATCAAACTTAATGCTATCTAAAAGCAATTTTTAAAATCTAAGATAACATGATGCAATTTTAAGCTTCAAAACCTTGCATCTCTAAACTCATAAGAATTGGCAGGGGCTTAAAAAATGTAGGTGAGAATTAATAGTAGCATTACATTGATTTTACAGGTGGAAAGGTCAAACCAACTTATATTTTTGCAAATTTATGGTTTTTTAATCGTTACTCAACATTCTATTGTAATATAATTCTCCTGGAATGCAACATTATAAACTTAAGTACAGCATGCTGCTAAAAAAACCACAAGCTTTAGTAAAGCAATCACTTTGCTTTTCAACTGTGTAGTTTTTTCTATTTATCTCAATAATTTATTAATTTAACTATTTTTGTATTAATATTGCATAGTTAAGATGACATGGAGAGGAAAAATTTTGGACCTATCCCTTGTTCACAACAGAACAGTGGCATCTTTCTAGCATCCCCTTCAGTAAGTAACAATGATACCAATAACAAGTTGGAAACAGCAGAATAGGTGAGTACTCCATCCAAGCCTGGATACAAGAAAAATCTAAGAACACACCACAGCTGTAGTTTCTCTAAGAGGTGCAAGCTAAATGATCTTAGAAAGAATGTTAATGATTTTCTCAATTAACTTCCAAAAATGGAGTCTCAGTATTGTAGATCAAGTTCAAATAAGCTGTACCTTGAGCGTATATGGCAAAGTACATCTATGTATAGGGAATATGCAAAATTTTGTAGGAGTAAGTATTATTAAGGCATCTGTAAAAGTATTTGTCAGTGTTTAAAAAAAACATTTTGCTGTTCTTACCAAAGGATGATCAGTGTGACTTATGTTCTTCGTATAAGGCAGGTAATGCACAAGAATACATTGCATATTAAGAGAAGATGAAGCAAAATAAATGAACAAGAACAGTGAGTTGAAAGTTTTTATGATGCATCTGCAAGCAATATTGTTAAGTCCCAATCTCAAGGCTTCATCACTATACTACAGAACTCAGATGAATGTCCAGAACTTCACAATTTACAACTTGCAGACTAAAGATGGTTGATGTTTTATGTGAGACAAATATGAAGGAAACCTGAATGTGAAAGAATTCACTTGTATCATTGTGAATTTATGTCAAAACTAAAGACCCTAACAACCAACACATTATTATTTACAGTGACAACCATTATCAAAACTAAAATTCAATGTATTTCTAGTGCTCTTTTGTTATTGCTGTAGCAAAACAAGCTACCATTTTCCAGAAATTCCTTGAAAGGAATACTCCGTTTGAGAGTGTTCCTTTCAAGGAATTTCCGAAAAACTGAAAAATAGCAAAATCTGTACACCAGCAGGCTATGTCAAAATAACAAGAAATGCTTGTATTAAACCTTAACCTTAGATTTTGAAAATTTTGTGGGCCAAATATTCAAACTATGAAAAGATTTCCTCCCTGGCTTCAATACAGCTGGACAAAAAGGTGAGTAATCCCACAGTAATGGATATTCATTGGTTGAGGTATGATCTAATGGGACAAATTCAGTACAAGCTTGTCTGCTCTGATAACTGAACTCCTCTTCTAATCCAAAATGAAAATGTGACCATTTTTCTTTCAGATTCTATAACTTTTCAGCAGCTGAGATCCTTTCGGATCTCAGGAAAAAAAAATCAGGAAAAAGATGTGTGATCGGTTCATAATGCATTGATTTTGTTCTTCTTCATTTAGCATATTATTAAAAAATAAATAAAAAAAAACATGAAAATCCAATTTATTGCATGTATAATTTTTTACGAGAACTCATATCTCTAGTTTGAAAATTAAATTTACCATCTAATCTTCCAGTAATTTAGTGCAAAACATGACCGACTACTTCAATATATTATTAAAAAATAATCAACACTCAGTAATAACGGACTTCTAGAGGAAGTTTAATGTTTTGTCTGAAAAATTTGTTCCAAAGGAGTTACAAGATCTTAATTATCAACAGATGATATTCACATCCACTTATGTTAAATCTCACTGTTTGTCTCATTTAAAATAATAATTTACACTTATTTAACCTTTATCTTTCTTTTAATTTGGATATTACATTCTATTCTATTGGTAATCCATATTTCAAACCTGAATATATTCAATTGCCATTCTTTGTTCAAATGTATATGTAAGCTATTACATTAATAAAATGTTTTGTAATCAAAATCCTAAACACTTTAATGAAAAATTTTATTTAAAAATTTTCATTTTATATATATATCTATTATACTAAAACTTATACTTACAAGTGGTGGCAAAATAATATAAAAGTTCCGAAGATGCATATTCTTGGAATCCCGAAAAGCAGCAGAAAATACATCAACCAGTAACTAAAAATTATAATTTATTAAATTTTAAAACTGAAATTATACTTCAATTTTTTTTATTTACAGTATGTATCAAATTTATAACATAATATAACTTAATTTGATCTTAAATATTTTTCAAAAATTAGTTAAAAATGCTTTGACAGTTACGTGAAACACTTCGTTTAAAAACAAAAATAAAATATAAATCGTCATATCTTATTTTATGAATATTGCACCGAAGTAAAAAAAAAGAAAAAAATAGTCAATGACAGTCAAAAGAATCTCAATTATAAGTGAAAAGTTTTATAGAATTAAAAGGTAGAGTTATATGCAAACTATGTATTAAATATAAATATATTAAATAAATTTATTTATACAAATTAGTAAATTTTATTTAAATTAAAAAAATTCTATGAGCAAATTTAGGAAAAATTTTGCATGTATCACTCGAGTAAATATTTGACATGTTCAGGATCCATACAGGTAATTCCATCTGTGATTTCCTGACAAATTACGACCTATTAAGGACTCTGCATTTCATCTTTCATTACGTAATATTTGGCCGAGTCTATTTAAGCCCATTTTGTTACACAATTATATAAATTTTTTATTAAAAAAACATTTTATTCACTTACAAAAAAACAAAAAACTTTGCATAAAATTAATTATGTAATTAGCTCTCATTTCTATGTCATATAAAAACTTTCATGATTCTATTTAAATTAATTCATAAATTTTATTTAAATAAAAGGCTCGCATCACATTGTAAAATTGAATTTTCTTAAAACATGGAGGTAAGAAATTCAAAATTATTTAAACAGAATAAATCACATTCCATGAGGGAGAAATTGCTTATTACATGCTATTTTTGGTTCAGCATGGACCAACCAAGGTCATTGCATTTCTCACCTCTCCCTAAAACTTATAAGGTAGCAGTGAAGTTTTGGCAGAAAAGTGGGGTCATTGTCGATGGTGTTTTTGAAAACCCGACTAACTCTACAGTGATATGTGAGAATACGGATGAAGGGTCAGAGCCCTCTAATCGTCGAGTTGGTAAAACTCGCTCACAGGGTCACAGGATGACTTAAATAATATAGGAGGGTCTTTAAATCGAGTGAGGAGAGTGATACAATAAGAGGTAAAATGTGGTTAAATACAAAATCTTACAGATATTTTGGTATACTTCCAAAATTCTATTGGCCATCTGAAGACAAAACTTTGCAGTTAAAGACATATCACGGATCAGAATTGTTATCTCCACATACTGCATGCGGCCAGTAGCAAAGGATACAACAAATAAAAATACATGAATTGTGTAAGGTCTGACACATGATCCAAAATGTCCCGTACACTATCATTAAACGGACTGACAGTTCTTTGCCTAACCCACACCATCAACTGACTGCAATGGGTTAACTACCGTGTTTTCCGAAAATAAGACAGTGTCTTATATTAATTGTTGCTCTGAAAAAGGCGCTAGGTCTTATTTTCAAAGAATGTCTTATTTTTTCCAGGAAGAAGAATTCACATTTATTATTGAACAAAAAAATTCCCAAGTCAAACTTAGACGAGAGTGACATATATCCAGTGTGTCGAGCTGTCGCCTTTTTATAGCGTCAACATCGGACTCGCTGACCAATTAGTGCTTACTGAACCGTAGCACTATGCAAATGTCATGTGGCGTGATTCCCGGTCGACCAATTAGCCATCACTAGCCGTAACGTTATGCAAATCTGTGATTCCCAAGCCATAGTCTTATGCAAATCATGCCGCATGTCATAATTGTCTGCTGACCAATCAGTGGCTGTACTTTCAAAAAGCCAACAGCCACTTTCAACCATCTGTCGATGACCGTTACAACTAAAAAAAACTTCGCTAGATCTTACTTTCAGGGGGAGGTCTTATATTTCGCAATTCAGCAAAATCTGTGCTAGGTCTTATTTTCTGCGAATGTCTTATTTTAGGGAAACACGGTAGATGTTGCGCAGGTCAAAAGAATTGGTAGGGTTGTGTAAGGGACACAATCACAATTGTTTCAAGCATAAGTCAGTCTTTGTGTTATTAGAAGAAGAATAAGATGTAAAGAAATAAAGTCTTGGTGGTTATCACATTTCAAGTCAATATCTATTATTTCAGGTAGTGGTGCAATCAAAGTATTCGCATCAGAGCTGATGCACTCAATTTTCTTATACTCTATACAACCTGCATTGTTTGGCATTAGTCATTTTGGGCTTTCTGATTTGTTTAAAATTTTTCTTTCCAATTATATACGTTTCTTATATTACTGTTCGTATTTCCTTTGCAATTTCTTTGACATTATGAACATTTCCTTCAACTTGCACACTTATCGGATTATAACTTTAAAAATTCTATTTTTAACAGTTAATTATTGTGAAATAATATTGTAAATCCTGTCATTCTATATAATTCAATAATAATTTCAACGTCCTATCTTTTCACAATCCAAAGTTTCACTGCCTAAATGTCGTGCAGCATCACTATTTTCAATGTTCATGTGCAACTACCACCTCTCCCCAGCACAGCTGCACATCCCCACTACCCAACATTTTAAATACAGACAAACATATTATCCAACAAAATTTAAATCACTATATCTTTTACACTATAAATGATGATCTAAATGCAACAAATCTTGCCATTTTTTTGGTTGGTCCAGTTTTCATAGACTCCTTTACCAAACCAAATTTAAAGTTGTATTTGGATCAAAAAGAGGTGAGAACGACAGACTGATTTCATGATATTTACAGATTCCCTGACTTTTAATGCCATTCCAACTTTTCCTGCTAAAAATCTTATTCCGACTTTCCAGGTCTGTATGAACCCTGCACGTTCGATGGATAACAAATCTAAATATAAAAGTTTTACATTAATTACATACATTAGTATAAAGCTGAATTTTCTCTCACAAAATGTAGATTTTATATCAATGTTTTTTAAATGATGTAATTAATTTTTTCAAAGATTAATGGTATAGTTCACACTTCATTACTCTCCTCATTATTGAGACCGTTGATTAATAAATTTATGATCAAAAATACTCATTTTTAGGAAATTTCGCAAGTTCTTTAAAACATTAATACTTTTGTGTTATTTATATTAATAAAATATTTAAAACAAAAACTGCATACCCTGAAATATTCTGTGCCTTCTGAAAAATTCTTAGTAAGGTTACCAATTACATGATCTAATTTAGCTGCAGCATTAATGCACTCATTAGATAAATTTTCTTCTTTACAAAGTTCCTCAAAAGATACTATATCATCTAAATCAGGTATGAATCTAATAGCATTACTACAACAATGAAGTCCACCAGAACGTATCATTCGAACAAACCCAAGAGCATTCCCTGCAAAAATTTAATTATAAATTTAATGAAAAGTTTGAAAAAAAAAGTGGTGTAATGGGAAAAAAAAAAAATGTAACTTAAAAGTAACAAATTACTACTTACCAATCTGACTAATTAATGCTCTAAATTGATCTAAATAACTTTCATTTTCTGGTGTGAGACCTAATTTACGAATGCCCTTATTAAATTTTTCAGCTCTTTCAAATGGATACTGTAAAAAAAAAAAAAAATTTATAAAATAAAAAATTATATCTACAAGAATTATTTTTAAGCAAATACTTACTTTTTGATCTATTTGTGTTCTGTTTTCCCTAAAATATCTTTGATCCTGAAAGAAATTAAATTAATTATTAAAACAAATTTTTCAAAGTGAAATTAAACTACTATAATGTTAAAATGTTATGAATTAATAGTAATTAAAAAGTTAATATTCATTTAAAAATAAATACTGAATAGTATTTGGTTATTATGAAATTTTAATATTGAAAATTTTAGGAGTTAGAACATTGAAATGTTAGAAAAGGGTCAATTTCAATCCTTTGGTTTACTGAATTTTTCTTACATTGTTTTTATGGTTAATATTAAATAGATGTTTCAGTTTTTCAATGAGAATTGAATAGGAAACTAAAGTATTTGATACTATTCATAAAAACCAAACTAAATTTAAATTATCCTTTATATAAATTTATATTTTATGAATGTCTCTCTCTTTAATCCAAATGACTTAAGTTTGGTAGACTATCATTACAGCTTTCAGGTTAGACGCTTCTTTTATTGAAACAATAAAAAAAGCGTCTAATCTGAAAGCTGTAATTATAGTCTACCGAACTTAATAGTCATTCGGATTAAAGAGACATACATTCATAGAACGTAATAACAGCTACCATAAGTGATATTTAGAATAAATTTATATCATTTATATGAAATATAACAGATTTTTTAGAATACAGATTAAAGTAATAAGTAATCAGAAACACTATTTCTATTCAAAATCACCTTTTATTAATTACTAACCTTTATTAGTCTAGATTTGATATGTTCATCATATAAAAATTGAGAAAAAATATAAAATTTCTTTCTAAGGAACTGATATGTGAAGTTCACCTGAAATATTTAAACATTATGTGAGATTCAATTTTAAAAAAATTGCTGAGATCTACTGGAGCAACTGATAAGACATAATATTGACACCTTGTAAATAAAACTGCAAATAAGAAAAATAAGAAATTCTGTGATTTCATTTTGAAGCTAAAGTTTCATTCTCATACCAAAAATAAATTTTAACAAATACTGAACAGCCATTGTTCTATAGAAAACTTCTTTAATCTGTTCTATAAACTGTTTTATTTCTCCTATTTACAATTTTATTGGTCTCTTATCATAATGAATTATCGTATAATTCATGAAGGAAATGAGTTTAAGATAGATATGTATGAAAATTTTTAAAATCAAAGTATTTCAGATATTTATATAAATATATTTTTTTAATTTTTAGATTTAAGTTACATATGTAATTTGATTATAAGCTTTTGTTAATATATAAAAGTTTATTATATTTAATAAAAAAAAGGTTTATATTAATAAATATTCGTACAAATAATTAAAATCTATAAATAAAAGAAGAACTTACTGTAGTGTTCATAATTCCAATACCATGAATTCGAATTGAATTGGCTATGTGTCTTATATTAATGGTATTAAGATGTTTATTATTACTTGTTCTTTCGACAAATATCTTCAAAATAAGAACAAAATAAACAATCTCCTATATAGTTAATATTAAATGCTCTTTATGATTATTTTAAAATACCTGATTATTCAAATTATACAGATATCTTGAGACAAATACATGTATGTTCCTCATTATTTCTAATACATCTAAACTCTAAAAAAAATGAATAAATAATTTAAGTTGTTTATTCTAATAATTTTTTTTTAATCACCACCAAAATTAATAAATACCTGTTCTAATGTCTGACTCGGAAGATGGGCTTCCACTGTCACTAATTCGTATTTTTGTCTAGCTAAACTTCGCATTTCATCATATGTTTTCCAATCATGAAGTGCAACAGTTGTCAAATTATAAAATATTTTATCTAAATAGTGTTCAACGTGAGCTGAAAAAAATAAAATTGTGTGTGGTATACATATATTTTTAAAAAGACTAAAACAAACTAAAAAATTTCATATTTGTACAACCAAATTAGAGAACATTTTTCTAAAATTTTATATTATATCACGAGAGGTAATGGCTTCAAGTTTTTAAAACAATCTCTACTCTGAAAACTAAATCTATTTAATCATATTTAATCATAATACTTCCATGTCTGAAAGAAAATTTCTTCTTGTAGATAATAGAAAACTTTTGTGATGATATTTTTAACATTAAGAAATCTTAAAACTTGAAACCATAAACTGAACAAAATTTTTTTTAACCATTTATTTTCAAACTATAAAATAAGAAAAGATTTTCTTTTGGTACCAAGATACATCGATAATGAATACGTGACAGATTTAAAATCAACAAATCACAAGCAAAAATTGCTGGTGACAAAATTTTTTAAATTATAATGCTGAATTTTAATTTAAATTAATTGAAATAAATAAAAATTCAGCAAATGAAATTTTGTTTAACTAATATTCCTTCTAGCAAATGCTTGATTTGCTTTTTATATGCAAGGAATGACAGATAAGTAAAGTCTCCTACTAACAGTTACTCTACTCAAAACTCAACGACTTCTATACAATCTCACTAACCAGTCAAATAGTATTCCAAATTCTTGATGAAGATCTTTGGAGTAGGTTAAAAACATTAGATGTTTAGATGTTAGTTTTGAGAATTTGTGTAACTTCTCCTACCGCCTCCAGTGTTCAGCAAAATGCAAGAATAAATGTATTCACCATTAATTAGTAAAGAAAAGTATCTAATCTGTGCAATCTCAGTTCTGTGTGTTGCATCATTACAACAGTTAAGTTTAAATATAAACTTGTCTCGCTTTTTCTATACAAAGCAGCAAGCATTGAAAACAATTCAGTAAAGTGTTTTGAACCTTAGGAGTACATGATATTTATTCAGAGTAAGGCCAGAAAGAACAATCTTTCTTGTACCATAATAACACAATATCCCACTGCGGAGTTAACACCAAAGATGTTTAAGAACCTAAAGTTATCGTTTATTCCGTAACCTGCTTACAACTCATATCCGGCATTATCAAGTGTCTGGTTGTTCCTAAAGTTATCAATGATTGAAAGATCAAATATTGAAATTCAAGACACTGTATGAGAGTGGACCAAGGAAAACCATTTGTTTACACAAAAAAAAATGGAAAATGTGTAACACCAACGATTATTATATTGAAAATTGAATATATTCGATTTAAATAAATGGTTTTCATTAACTTTTAAAACCAGTCACATTCTCTCTCCAAACTAAAAACAAACAAACAAAAAGGGTTGAGATAAGTTGAGAGAGCAATAAGAAAAAGTGAAATAAAAGATTTTAATAAAAACAAAGCTGATCAAATTTTCAATTAAATATTGAAATGATATTTTTTATTCATTTCAGTTTAAAATTAGCAACAAAATTTCAAAATTTGACAGATTACTTGATAAATTAGAATATTTCGCTCTCAACACTGAAAATTGTATTCATTATTATTAAACATTTGTTAACTGTTAGTCTTGTTGCCTGAATTCTGCCAAGATTTGAAGTTTTACAGCAATTTTTGAAATTGTTCGAAACCAGAGGCTTCTGTTTCCTTTTTAATTTTTAAGCGGAAATGCTCAGTTACGCATTCTACTAAACGATAAAAATATAATCATACATCTAATTTAGAAGCAGAAAAATTATGTAATATTTGATCTAATCATTTATTATACAATTATTAGAGTATAGGTGTTTTCTAGAAAAATTTTAGTGATACTCTTAGATTAGTGTTTAACAACAAAATAAGATGCATATAATATATATAAAAGTATATTTTCAATGAAGATAAAATGCCATCATTATATGCTGAATATAAAGACATTAATTTTACCTAATCCCATATAATAATAGTATGATTATATAATTTCACTATTTTTTAAATTCTCTCTAAAGGACTTGACATAAGAATAAGATCATTATGCATATACAAGAAATAAATGTACTAGATTATTTAATATTCTATAACAATTTTCTTCTCAATTTTGTTAATAGTATTAATATGATGACTTAAGAACAGATCATTAAGAAATGTTTTAATTAAGATCAAGTATACATAATATTTCTTCCAGCATTTTCTAAAATAGAATTACATTAAATAATTATGATGATAATCTACCAACCTATTTCTAGACTAAATTCATTAATAATTTTTTGCTGTAAGAAAACTAGTGTTACATAAAACATCTTATTAAAATCAAGCTGAAACAGGTCATTTTCTGTAAGTACTGAACATGCATGAAAATTATATATGTAAGCTTTACCTTTTACATTAATGTATCTATCAAAAAATCTTATGGGCTTGATTGTTAACAAATGTGATAAATTCTTTAATCCAACATTAAATGGATTTCTGTCATCAAGTTGAAGATGGGAATGTGAATGCAGACGCAAATCTGTCTCGATATCCCGACAGAGGGGATCTATTAAATGCTGCAAGAAAAAAAAGAAATAAATTATTTGATACGTATTATTAATTATTTAAAACGTATTATTTAAAAAACTAAGAATATCAATTCAAGAATGACCATCACTAAAGTTAAAAAACAGTAAACATGCTCTGACAGATCTAAGAACTAACTATATTTACTAGAGAATAAATAAATCTAATCCAAGTTATTCCACTGATATCAATCTATTGAAAACATTTATAATTAATATTCTTAAAATTGGCTGCTTACTAAATTAACTCAGAACTTTCTTCAGTTTTATAATGTCCTAGTTGTACTAAATGCAATATAAAATTATAAAACATCAAAAAAAAATCTTAAAGAAATTTGATATTAAATAATGGCATTGAGGAGGGGGAAAAAAATTATAAATTGGAATTATTACTGGAAATTAAAAATATCAAAATTAAAGTTGGTTTTTATAATAATGTAGATTTGTTACCAAAGACAAAAAGGAAGAAGATTACTAAAAGAACTCGTCAGGAGAATTATTATTTTAAAAATAGTTGATAAAGTTTCACATACTTCTTTTAAATAATTATATATTTCTTTATCATAACTATTAAGCATGTCTTGAGGAGACGATAAATGTCTTGTTACTTTCATTGGACCAACTGAATCTCTCAAAGCAGCAATCAAATACTATTAAAAAAAAGTTATTAAACAAATTCATTGTCAGTAATTAATTATTCACATGTTTTACATTTTATAATATTAAAAAAAAATTATTGGTAAATTAATCATTAAATAAATCCACTAAAATATAAAACTGAATATACGTAAACGTGAAATACGTGTAGGAAATAGTAAACATATTTTAATAAATTTTATAGTATGAATTATATATTGTTCTAAACATACGTGTATTCTGTGAGCATCGACTGCATTATCAAACAAATCTGTTATGTATATGGGAATCAAAAATCTCTGCCAATAGAGAAAACTGCAATCACAGGCATCCTTTAATCTTAAAAGAAAAATCAGATTATTAATAATATTCAAATTAATAAATCAACAATATTCAAATTAATAAATCAACATAATAAAGCACCTTCGATACTAAGAAATTTAAATAAATTAAAAATTTTCATAAATTAATAGTTAAAAAACAATTATAAATCATATTTATAATAATAAAAAATCAATTTAAGAGTCTAGGCAATTTTTAAAGAAAACTTTTTTTAACAATTTAGTATCCATTTCTACACATTTAAAATTAAATTAAATTTTCTAGTTTCGTAAACATGTCATATTACTTTTCATTAAAGAAGTATTTTAAAATGTTAAATTTTGATAAGTTAAACAATGCACAAAGTTTGAAAGGATTTTACTGTACAACACATACTTTTCCCAAAGATCACTGATTATATCAAGGTTTTTCATCACAGTTACGAAACTGTTGAATTCATCATCTCTCAACGATTTCTAAATAAAATCAAAATTAATAAATAGAATCATTTTTACATTTGAATATTTACAAAAATAGCACATCTTACCATTTGAATTCCAAGAGACATAACTAAATTTGTTATAAGACGTCTCTCCTTGGTACCTGTAATACAAGCATGAATTTATAACTGACATTATATACCATTAAGAAATATTCCACGTTACTATGGCAAAATCAAATAAGTCTGATATATTTTTGAATGTTTGAACCTATATTAAATTCTGTTATACTTAATTATTTTCAGAAATTTTTCATATATTTTAAGTCAAATAATTAAAGCTGACTAACATAAGTATTGACATTTTTAATGCAAGTCAAAATAGATTTGATTAATTTTTTTATGACAAAAATTATATAATTACCGTATATTTCCGCAGGTAAGACTAGGTATAAATTTTCATCAGAGTTTTATAGTTTTAGCATATATATGTCCTATAAGACAACCCCAAACTATCAACAGCTTATGAATTTAGTTTAGATCAGCGACCATCATCTGGATAATCATACTGTATACCCCAGATTTTGGGGGCCTTTTTTTATGATTCAACTATAGTCTTATCTGTGGAAATATATGGTATTTCTTATTAACGGAAAGATATTGTTTGCTAGCACTTGTGAATAAAATAACACAATCAGAAAGGGGAATAGAGGACATAATCATTGAAAGGAAATTCCTATATTGGATGTAGGAATTTCCTTAAAATTTTACTGTAATTTTAATGTTAATATAGCATATGTTGATACCTATGGACTCAATTACTAGTGCTAATATATGAGTTATTAATTGGGCAGCTTTTTGACTGGCTCTGATAGACAGTGACTAGAATCTGTCAACATTATTCATTATAGTTGCATTTTTGAACAATGAACGTCAAGATATTGAAGTGTAAAATTTTGTCTTTGCAAAATAAGATGTTATTGGTGACATCTAGCATAAACTTTCTCAACAGATTATGGGTCAGAAGTATGGTTTAAGTAAATCAACCATGAGTAACATCCAAAACAATCCTCAAAGAAAAACTTCAGATGGCTGAGATGATATTGAACAAGATTTGTTTCAGCGATTCAACATTCAGAGATCTTCAGATGTCGCTCTCAATAGGACTTTGTTCAAAAGCAAAGCTGAGCAACTAGTCACGTTGCTGAATGCAAGTCAAGAATTTATTTGTTCTGAGTGGTGGCTTAACACGTGGAAAGAGGCGTGACATTATGGTTGGAAAGTAGGAAAGCAAAGTCAGTGGATTGAGATACAATGCAGATTGGTTGAATTCAGAATAACCAGAAATTTAACAGCAACTACTTGCTGTTAATTGATAACTGATTGACCACTGATGCCAAAATGCATTAATGGCAATTCTGTTTGTTGATTTAAAAACATGTACTCTGACATAAATGCAATCTTAACAGATGAATAATCTGACCCCATAAAAGGTAGCTCCACCACAGAATAAAATGAGAGAGAAAGAGATAATGATGATAAAGAAATTGTTCCAATGGTAAAAGCAGTATTGGAAAGGTGTTAGATTCCAAAAACCTTATAGTAGTTCCGTAGATAATATGGAATCAAGTGTAGAAAAAGCATAATCTCTTGAAATATTCATTAGAACATGCAATAAATAGCAGAAAATAATGGACTGCAATATTGACATGTAGCAGTGTAAAATTGTTTTTCATTGGATAAATTTACTATATGTACTAATTATTCAAATAAAGTACTGTGTGTGTACAATATTTTGTCTATCACTACTCAGATTAAAAACTCATTTGTTACAGTGAACCTTCATATATAGTGAACCAAGTAGCTCAGTCCATACAGGTTCAAAATACAACTAGAGAGTACAATTCTCTTATATAAAACTTTGCTTTTACTAAAATAAAATTAAAGTAATAATTTTCTTACCAGGACCATTTAAACACTTCTCAGCAAGCAATAATGCCGATAGAACATCAAGATGTCTTTCACTATACTTTTTATCAGAAATGATTTTTCTCTAAAAACAAATATTTTAATAAATATTCAAATGATTTCTTTACATTATTACAAATTTACAAACTATTTTTTTTTACAAACTACAAATTTTAAAATATTAAACATTATATTTTGTGTATAATTGTTAGCTAACAAATTTGTTGTTTTATTTAGTATTGCTTATAATCCAAAGTAGCTTACATTAAAAATATTGTTAATGAGATTAATATAGAAGATTATTAAATACTAAGACATTAAGTTAAATATAAAAATATAGAATATCCATTAATTTAAATTTCCATAAACTATGAATGCTATGCACTTAAACACCAAAGTTAAATATTGGATTTCTGAATATCAGTAATAAAAATGATCACAAAATTGTCTGAAAGACTACTTATCATCTGCAAATTTACATTTTGCACATAAAACTAAGTTCTTTTAGAAAAAAAGTCATTATTTGAAAACTCAAATATATTTCTAGAAATTGTTAAAACATACTCACTTTAGCTTGATTTATAACTGTTAATGCAATATAACTTAAATGCTGGATGATATGAATTATAGAATCACATATGAAAATCGTTTGACGATGAAATGTCGCTTCAATTGCCTGATAAAGAACAAAATGTAAATGTTCCATGTAATTTATGTCTTAAAACTTTAATATATATAAAAAGTTATTCATAAGAGTTACTTTAAGATTATAAAGAAAAAAAAACACTAACTTAAATTTATAAGCTTTCCTAAATAACATTATAAATTTTAGTCAAATGAAATTCAGAATTAGGAAGGCATTTTCAATTTCGTTACTTTACAAACATTTTTAAATATGTTGAAACTTTTGAAAATTTAATGATCCTTTTAGTTATTTACAGTAAACTCAGTCAAAATTTAAAAAATAAATTTCTTTTTGATTAGTTGTTCAGATATGATTTAGCATATAAAATGAATTTCCTCAATCTCCACAAGCTTTCATCCGGTATGTGGTATCTTCATAAACACTCATACAAAAAAATTTTAAGAACTGACAAAACATTTTGTATTATAGAAGTTCAAATTCAGGTTATCTGAATGTGAAAGCAACAGGTCATCTTAAAGAATTCTGTGATAAGTATTTCGTGACATTTTGTGAAGTTAATTTGTGTAATTTATTGAAACATTAATCAATTTGCTATCAACAGATATTATTATTAAAAATTTTAAAGGTATAAAATTTGTAATTAGGTATGTAGATGATATAATCTTAATATACGACAGTCCAGAGATTATTTTGAATTTAGTAAATAATAAAAATATAATTTTTGAATTAGAAGAAAACAACAACAGGATCAATTATTTAGATTTAATGATAGAACATAGAAACTCATTTTAATTTTTAAAAAAATACAAAAAAAAGACTATTCCATACTGTTCCTATTGTCCAAATGACATCAAAAGAAATAATTTTATTGCCGAATTACATAAAATTGTGTAGAACTACGAGAAAATGGGATCAAATTAAGGAAGAAAATAATGTAGTTAAAAAATTTTTGTTAAACAGATATCCGCAGAAATTGTTACAAAAATGAACAACTGATTATAAAAATAATAATAGTTTTAAAGTAAAATTAAATAAATCAATTATAAATGTTAGTTTTCCATTTATAGAAAAGTTGTATAATAGATATAAAAAAAAGTATTTAATCATATAAAATTTGTATAGTGCCTAAATTAAAAAACAGATGTAATTTAGTTATAAGTAATGGAAAAAATAATAATGTAGAAAAATTAGAAATGGCTGGTGTGGTATATAAATTTGGATGTAATGTACATGTAATAATAATAAAAAATGTTACATAGATGTAACTAAAAGGAAATTAGAAACTCATTAAAGAATATGAAGCCACCATTAGGCTGAAATATAGATTCCCCTTGGTACAAACATATTGAAAATAATAAATGTAACATTGATAAAACGATATTAAAATATTTTATAGAGGAAAAAAAAAACATTATTAAAAGAACATTATTTGATTGTAAAAAATAAAAATTTAGTTAATCAAAACACAGGATGTAAATTAGATGATTGTTGGAGAGATCATACCTACGTCACACCTTCAATGAATATGTGGAATCTATGCAAAGTGTAATTTTGTAGTACGTTCGGTAAAGGAAGATAATGTTAAGAAATAGATATTATAGTGTTTGAGAGTATATTTAAAATGATTTTTTAGAATTTTATAAAATACATTTGTTATTTTATTGTAAATTATTGTAGCAATCCTTTTTACCACATACGTATCAGGTGTTCTGTTATATATGTCAGAAGTGTTATTTCTCTAAGACCATTGCTAAAAACATCTTGTATGTATGTTTTGTACTTTATTTAAATGTCACTTAGACTGTACTAAAATAATTTGTACGTTTTATAATTTTAGAACTGAAGAGGGTTTAAATTTGATAAAACTGAAATGCATTTTGATACTTTGTTTAACAATATTCTCTTTTATAAAGGCATTTTTATTGTTTCCATTTTTGTTTTTTTATTATCCTCAGATAAACAGTGGCAATTGAAGCATATTATGACAAGATTGTCATATTAAATATATGTTAATTAATTTAAAAAATTAATCAATTTGGTTTAAAAGTTTGGGTACGCCAAAAATATAGATTTCTTGTCACTATCACCTCATTCGAAAAAGAATATATTAACAATAATTTTCATTAGTCAACAGAATTTTTTTTTTATATGTTCTAAGTTATTTTTCTTAAATTATTTGATTTGTGCAGGAGATCCACACAGCAAATATACTCAAACAATATGGCAATAAACTGCAGCTTCTGTTGTGGTATCCATAGTGGTATAACTATATATATAGTTATAAAACTATGGATACCACAACAGAAGCTGTATTATATGTATATATAATCTTGTAGAAAAAGAACATAAGCTTGTAGAACTTATTGTTTAAAAACAATCTACTCTTTTGATATCTCCAATCTAAATAGACAAATTATATATTAAAAGCTTTCCATGCGATTTTAATATTTCTAAAATATTTGAAAAATAAAAATATTAACAGTTTCTATAAATGAAAATTATTGCTTTAATTCATTAATAAAAAGTCTTTATGAAACAATATAGATGACATAAAACAATAAGAAATGCTGATCTTTGAAATGAATTTTTCAACATTTTAAATATTCATATTTAAAATATTAGTGTGTTGGTGAGTCTAGAGTCCATTAACACTTCATTGTGGATCTAAAAAAAGAATATATATTTTTAAATATTCAATCAAAAAGCTTTCATAAAAAGTACTTACTTTCAGCATTTCAACCATTTTAAATAAGGCAAGAACTGAACTTTTCACCATAGGCTTTGATAAAGTAACATGCAAATTTGTTATTGTTTTAACTTGATGGCTTATATTCCATGCGAGCATCAGACCCTAAAATGAATACAAAGATTGTTGAAAATAAATGTGCACATAAATCTAACCAATACGATTATAATTTACAATTAGAAATAACAAAGAATATTTTTCTTTATTTTTAGTATTTTGTTTTTGAACTGATAATTTTACAGCATGTTTTACAATATCATCTTCGCTGAAATATTCAACTCTTCATAAATGATGATCATTTTATATATCAATGCAATTAATAATAATAAATCTGGAATTTTTCAAATTTTCAACTAATTTATAAAATTATTTTTCAATTTTCTATCTCTTAACTCATCTATTAAATTACTAGTAGCCCGGGACCCCCTAGTGGCATTCTTTACAAATTTCCATGAGGCACAGTTCCTTTGACTTTTTTGTTCCTATCAGTATGCTCTACAGCTCCGTTAAAGTCCCAATGGTAAGATTTACCCTTCCGAATGAAAGGGTGGCAACTCCGCCCAAACTGTAGCCCCTCTGTGCAAACAAAGTCAAAGGAACCATACCCCTACTCACAACTCTTCGCGAGATATAAGCCCCTGAAAATTCGCCTATGTCATTTCCGGTAACGTGACACCATGGTAAAAAGGGAGCATATCGCGCAAAAAAAAATTAACGCGCGCTCGTGCACACTCGGGGGGGTCGCCAATCCGCTCATTCGCAGGGTAAACTGTGGCAAACAGGCGGTCACATGACCCATAGAATAATTTTCGGAGGGCTATATCTCGGGAAGGGTCACGCGTAGGGGTATGGTTCATTAGACATTTTTTGTTCGCACAGAGGGAGGTTGCCACCCCTTCATTCGGAGGGTAAATCTTACCGTCCCAATCGCGTCATATGGATCTATATTTCTACCTATTAAGCATTCTATAAATACTTTAAAATAGTTTAATTTGTTTATTTACCTTCGCTAGTAAACCTCGATTTTAAATGTATCTGCCTTATTTTCAACAAATTTCCCATGAGTCAATGTGCGACATTCACTGAGTCATGGGATGTTGTAAATGTGCAGCGAAACGTTAATCAAGGCATATAATAATTATCTATACCATTCCGTGATATAAATAATAAATTCATATCAATAATAAATTCCAATTACAAATAAAATTAATTTATTGTTAATTTAAAATCATCGCTAGGGCACCTCTAGTGCCCGTTTTTGACACTGTTATGTGGACGGATACCCGTTCAATGGGTTATATATATATATATATATATATATCTGGGAACCCATTGAATCATATATATATAGATTTTTTTAAAGTTAGGGAAATGTTTCAACAACTAGAAAGTCCTTCGTGAATATCAATTTTTAATAGGTTTTTAACTAAATATCATTAATTACAGTAAAGATTAGGTAAAATAATTTTAAAACATGCATATATAATTTACTTACATGAATAAAAAGTTTGCATTTTCTGTTTAAATCACCTAACAATTTCCCATTGTCTTCTGAATTAGAATCCATTTTTATCATCCATGACGCAACATTCAAGTATAATGTTTGAACATCTCTAGATAATAAATTAGATTTCTTTTAATTTTTTTTTTTTAAACTTTCATTGAATAAAAATTAACTACTTTATAAAAAAAGAAAACATTTTAAACTACGGTTTAGAAATGAAGTGAACAAATGTATTTTCACAAACACGAGATTTATTTCGTAACAAATCTTATAAAGTACAGGTATCTCTCGTACAATATGATATTTCTACAACGCAGTTTGAAAATTGGGGATATTCGCATACAGCAACTTCCAGTTTTGCTGTAACACGCTTTCAGAAATCCTCCACACACAATTTCAAAATTTTTAAGTAACTACCATGTTATACTAGGGATACCTGTAAATATATGAGTAATATTTCATGATTGAATAAGATTGATTTGATTTAACTTTGATTGCAGAAATTTTTTACAATGCATTTTTTGTTGTTGTTGTTTTAACACTACAAAAATGCCATGATTAAATTTAATGCACATACAAAAAAATCATATGGCAACTAGTAAAACTTTGTTAAATGCAATATCTGTATTGTAACAGTAATCCGATTTAAATGAATAAGTAAATTTGTAATTACAAAACAAAAAATATGTACGAAAATATTAATTTTTGTATTGTTGTTCTATACTTATACATTATAAATATGTATTATACGTATGAGATGACAAGAGGCCTTGCTAAATTATTTCAGTAACTAAACATTTATTGTTTGTGTAAACATTCTACTAAATTTATAATTACTATTGTTATATTTTTTCAAATTTCATACATGTCCTGAAGTGTTAATTTTTATTTATAGTGAATTCTCAAAACAGTAACACAAGAAATGAATAACAATCATCTTATAACTTTAAAATTTCAATTTAGAGATCTTATTTCATTCAGTGAGCTTCAATAGCTCGATCTAAACCAGCAAAGAAATTACACAACTCAAACTGACTGAGCAAATGAAATTTATTTTGATCTAGGAAGATGCAGAAATTGTTTACCAAAAAATATCATTAATTTTTTTTCTTTATTTTTGGTTGGTTAGATTTGGAGTGTTTGGTACAAGAGCCTCGGGTTAACCAGAAAATACCAAGTCTAGACATTTGGTATTTGAATATCTTGTGAGATCCGACCTCAGAATAAGCCCAGAATTGTTCATTTTCTCCCTAAATTTTCGACGTATTTAAAATAAATTTGTCGCCTCCTCGTTAAAATAACAATGTCAGAAAAAAGAATCATATATCAATCGAAACTGATAACTTTCATCGTTAATATAAACATTCAACCCTCCAACAATGACATTCCTTTGTTGCAAGACAAAAAGTTTATAGTTAAAGTCCGAATTCGTCATTTTGTTTTGGGTCCCGGGAACAACTTTAACCTCCACACCTGCAGGACCAACCCTACCTCTCACAATAAGTGATCACATGACTAATTTTTCCAGTCCGAAGCTATAAAAGTGACTTCTTTCCCCCTCCTCAGGGGAGTCTCACATCTACGGTCTAAAAGGATTAAGTCTCCGGTAAACTTTAACTGTGTGCATCGATCACCGGCAAAAAAAACTAAATTTTTCCCACCTACATGGAAGTAAACTAGAGGTATGAAACAATTAATGTAAACTCTGTCCCCGCGAGTTAGGAGCTAGTGAACTAAATTCACTTCCCCGATGTTAGATTTTTGTATTCTTTAAATTTTTTTCTTTTCGTTTATCTAATAAATCGTTGTTTCATTGTTAAATGGTGTCCTTTTACTCGTATATCGCCTACGCCTCGTCGACGACCCCTCTCACCTCCTCCACTCGACCTGACAACAAGAATCCTGACCCTTCGGGAAGGGTCAGGATTCTTGACCCTTCCTGAAGACTCACAATCTTTTGAGGGAGAGTTGACGGTTTCTGACCTCCCCGGCGGCTCACAATCTTTTTGATCATTTTAAGAATCCACAAACCTCTCTATTGTATGTGTTATGGACTAAGTGATTAATATGGTCATTATGAATAATTACAAATAAAATCAAGCACTATAATAAATTTTAGGTTTTTTATCATAACTTATCAGATTCACTGGTCACTATGAATATCACCTGGTCAGGCAAAGTGATGTAATGCCTTGAGGAATGATCAACCGATATACACTAGCCAATTATCAATCACGCGACTGCACATGCGTACTGCGTTCAGTATCGAATTTTAAATTCATATGATCAATAGTTAATCTTGTGCTACATTTTAATTTTGCTTTTGCCTCTTAAAATAGTGTATTATCTTTTGAAAAAAGTAACAATCATGGAGCAATCATTAAGTGATATGATTTATATGAGTGAATAACCATTTTAACAACTGATTAAATGAGTTAATAGCAGCAAAAGGTCAAAACAGTGAAATTTTTACAAAATCAGCATTTTTAACAATGATAGAAAAAGTGAGTGTGTCAAAAATCAAAGTGACTTTGAAGTTACCAGAAGAATATCAATGTTTACGTAGATATGAAATATCTATTGTACAAATAGAAAAAAATTAGTTGTGCATGTAAAAGGAGGTAATTTTATTAAATATTATGTTCACAACGAAGAAAATATTTCAGACATTGCATGATGACCATATTGTTATTGACCACGGTGACATAAACCGTACGGAAAAAGAATTACGTACAAAATATAAAAATATTACAAGGGATACGAGATATAATCATTATTTACTTGAACTTATGTGAAACCTGTTAGAAAAAACAGAATGTTCCTAAGAAAGGCTTGGTATATGAAATAAACTAAGGCTTGGTAATGAAATAGAGATGTCAAGTTGATCTTATAAGATATGCATTCACAAGTCAATGAGCAATATAAATTTATACTCATGTACCAAGACCATCTGACAAAATTCGTTCAACTACGTCCATTAAAAACCAAAAGGGCTGAAGATGTATCCTAGGTTCTTTTAGACATTTTTACAATTTTCAGTACACTGAGTATTCTACAAAGTGATAACAGCAGAGAATTTGCCAATAATGTTATCAAATAATTGCATAGAGTTAAAACTGGTGCATGGAAAGCCAAAGCACTCTGTGTACACAAAGTCAGGGTTCAGTAGAAAGATGTAATCGAGACAGAAAATATGCTTAGTTCTTGGTTGGAGATTAACAACACTAACAAATGGTTGAAAGTATAACATTTTGTACAACTGATGAAAAATTGAGTACATCATACTGATATAAACTGCAGCTCTAATAAGGTCATGTTTGGAGCAAAGTTAAAAGTTGGACTAAAGACTTATCTGATACATCATTGACCAATATTAATACAAAGGATGATTTAGAGACTTTTGAAACTAACAACGTTAAGAATTGTTTCAGGTTTTTTAAAAAAAAATCAAACTGCCCAAGGGAATGTAGCTGTATTCATAATGTCTAGTCAATTTAATAAATTAGTCAATATTTATCAGGCTGCACGGCAATTTTAGTCATTATTCATAATGGCTAAAATGTCCATCACTTGGTCCATAACATATATACTGTTTTAGAGCTCAAAATTCTTGATTTTTAAAAAACTGACATTTCTGAATTATCTACAGAATTCATTTAAAGTTATTACACTTAAAATATTAAATTGTTTTACTGCTTTTATATCCGAATTCTGTAGAAACCTAATTTTTTTTTTATTAATCTGAACATTCTTGGCATGAATTAACTCCAAGCCTGAAAACTGCGGTATCAGGTATTAATTATATAAATGTTTTTTGTATACAATATATAAACAATTAGCTATTAAAACTATAATAATGTTTTATAGTTACTAATAAATATTTTAAAAGTTACTCCTCTAAAAATAATAAATTACTATCAAGAACAATCATTGACAAATTGAATTTCATGTATTCAATCATGTATTAGTAGTGTTCTTTCCAAGCAAATATAAAATGTGTGGCTATTTGTGTATTTCATTTTTAAATCATGTTAGTCAAATTTTTTTTATTTACAATTAATGAAACAACAAAATTACATACCAATAAACAATTTTGGAATTAAACAGTTAAATATATTCATTCTTGAGAAGAAAATATATTGATATTGAAAATATTCTGTCTCAAGAATGTATATATTTGACGGTTTTATGGTCCAATCCGATGTGTAATTAATAGCCTTAAAATAATTAAAAATTTAACATTTTAAATGACTTACTTTGGAAGTGATTGACTTTTCTGTTGTAAATATAACTGTCTTTGTGACTTAACCATTTCTTGAGATTTTCTATCAATAATTGATATCATAGGAGAAAATTTTCCAAAAAACTGATCTGGAAACCATAACACATTTCCAACTAAATGAATTCCAGGAAGCTAAATGAAAAAAATTAGCATACAATTTTTTATTAAAATGTCAATTTAAAAGCTACATTTGAATACAATATATTAAAATTTGCTGTTATAATATTTTATTAAAGAATTTTTTATATTTTTAACTATTCTAAAATGGCAAAAAAATTAATTTTGAGGGTAGGGATGGGTTTTATAAAACATTATAAATAATAATGAGTAAAACTGTCATTATGTTTACCCTACAGATGATTACACATGTCCCCTTTATCACCCCACACTGTCAACCTTTAACCACCTTTAAAATTTAATAACATCAATCTCCCTAATACACAAACCACCTTGCAAAATTTCAGAAGTTTTCAACAAAAAGCACAGGAATTATTAAGCTTCAAACAAAGTGAACAAAATCGTGTCCCATACACGCTAACATCCATACACAGAAAAAAAACGCCTGAATTTTTTTTTGCATTTTGACGTTTCAAAGTCTCGAGTTAAAAAAAGTAAAAATCTTTGGGGGGTCATTTTTGACCAATCACCATACTTTCCTTCTGTTATATATAATAGCCAGGAAAGAAAAATGCGCAAAAACTCCATCTGTATTAATAAAATGTTGCTTTAATATAATACGAATTATAGTTCATGTGATTTGTCACTACTTCTGGTTACAGGATACAGATCTTACTCAGATTTCAGTCCATCTCAATCTGATATTTCTAAGCTGAATTTTCATAATTTTTGAATCATACTGGTCAAATCCCTTAAGTGATAAACATATGGTAAATTTCACAAACATGATATTACCTTTTTATATAACCACTAAATATAAAATCCTCATTTAATTTTTAACGCTTTTTAATTAAAAAATGTTCTTTCAAAATAAAAAATTACATAGTCATAATAATAATAAGCTTTGAATCTGTGTCATAGTGCAATGTCTTATCCTTCCTGTTTACGTCAATGCATACGAACAAAACTATTATTCCAATATTCTCATAACAAGGACATTTGCTAAAAACTCAATTACCTTTAAATCGTGTAGACTGTATAAATCATTTACTGTATAATACACAAATATACTTTTGTATACTACTATATTATTTTACAAAATAATTTTGTGTGTTTATTATCTTATTTATAGACATAACTAAATGCAATGATATTTAATGTCAATCAGCATATTGTGGTAATTCATTCTTGTTCATTACTACACATTTTATGATTAATAAATTTTGAAAATATATCTTAAAAACATTATATAATTAAAAATAATAAATTTAAGAGTTTATTTTTTAGAAGTATTTATATAAAATAAACATACAACATAATTTTGATTTCATAATGAAATTTTTAAAGTAGATTTACCTTTTTATATACATCCCATAACGATTTGAAGAATTTCTTATCTACAATCCGAAAGAGCGAGTAGTACAATACATACAAAGCACAGATATCTACAATTCTTCGTCTTGCATTTAATTCAGCATTGTCTCCTATTAAAATACAATTTATTTGACTCAATCTTTTATATTAACGAACTCTATATTAAAATAAATTTTACCTATTTTTGGCTCAATAAGCATGAAATAATTTTTTATATTCAAAAAGAATTCTTCCGCAAAGTAGCTGTTTTTTGAAACAAATGCTTTTCCGTCGTCATAACCTTGTTCCATGCAACTCTGAAAATTTCAATTTGTAAGAACCTGTTGAAATTGAAATCATCATCAAGCAAGAATTTAATTTCAAAAAAGTAAAAACTGGTTGTAAAATAACAGACCAGGAAAATTCTGCCCTCTAGTAATTGATTTTCTAGTCGGGAAATTAATTTCTCAAAAGGCAACAGTTTCTCTTTAGTAATTCCAAATCTTGTTGGATCATGATGAATTGAGCTTATCATTCTTTTGTATAAAGTCCAATGTTCTCTTAATGTGACTTGAATATCAATGATTTCATCTAATGTAATTAATGTGGTCAGAAGTTCTCCCAAATGTTTGTATACCGTCTATATAAGAAGAACGATATATTCAGATTCATTCTTCAAATTATCACAATATATTAAAATAAATTTTTATATGATTATTAAATACAAAATTAAAAATTCTATATTCAAAAGCAGACATACTACATTTATTATTTTTTTTTCTATTTGTATTTTTCATCACTTTTACAATGCTCAGTGTTATGTTTTATCATGCATGTCTTTAATATTTCTATTTCTATTAATGAATTTAGATTATTACAATGTAAAAAATCAACAACACAAAATTCCTAATTGTTAAATTATTAATATAAGAATTGACAAAAGTTATAAATGTATTAGATTAATAGATAAAATTATTTAGTTTGAATGCAAATAACTCGTTAAAATAAATTATTGTTTTGCTTAGACATTCAAACATAATAATTATACATCCATTCAAACTTAACTCAATATGTTTATCTGTATGTAAAACATGCTATTATACAAACAAACAAAAAAATTATTCAGCTCAAATCAAAAATGTTCTATTGACTTATCATTGATCAATGAAAATATCAGTTTACCTGGAAATGAACATCTGTAACATCAATGAGTGTAGGTCCATTTTTATTATTTGTATACAAAGATGCCATTTGATGGATTGTGTTTTTTACTACTAAGTTGCAACGATTAACAAAACAGGACAACTCCTAAACAAAAAAAAATTAAGTTATTATTCTGAATCATTAGGTTGAATTTAACCATTAGAATAAAACTATAAGGGTTGCCCAAATAAAAAGTGGACACACATTAGAACTAAAAAATTATTATTACAAATCTAAAAGAAATCTCATTGTTCGTTTAGGCAAAGATCCCAGCATCTCAAGCAGATTGATTCCCCTTGCATAAATTCTGATGGCTGCTGGTAAAAAAAAATTCTTCAAAACTATTGCTCATGTTCTTTGTTTCAAGAGTGTAATGGTGGTACCATGTCTCATCTCCTGCAATAATACATAGGAGGAACTCGAGGTCTTCGTTATAGCATTGTTCTCATCTATAGATGTTGGCATTCCAATTGTCTTCAGCCACTAAAAACCAAACTAATGCCAGTTCTTCGATTCTGGATGCTTCCATTATAACTAAATCAATTAACATTAATTATTGGAGGTACAATCTATTCCTGCCAATACTTAATGCAGCCTGTGCTTTGTCTATGTTAAGCTTACCCACCTGTAAGGTGACCCACCAATTGCTATTTTTCACAATGAAATACGACATGTGTCCACTTTTCAATTGGGCAATCCTAATAATTTTTCATTAGGTCTTTATTTAGTATGTAAATCTTTAAAATTTTATCACTGTTTTTTTTAAAAAAGATATTTTATTATATGCGTATTTAATTAAATATCAATATTAATTTTAAACCGAATAGTTTTCTAAGCATGTTTAACCTACCTGCATAACTGAAATAATTCTTCCAATAGCTATTTGAGCATCTCCTTCTTGAAAACCTCCTTTGGGTTCTTAAGATAAAGAATTTTTTAAATTAAATTTAAGAACTTTTATACGTCAAATACTTAAATATCATTTAGTATAAATTACTATGTAAGTAGCCATTAAAAACTGAACCTGTAATCACAATTCTTTTTTAGCATGACTGCACGAATATGGTGGCTATTTTCCACTGATTTTTCACTTGTAATTAAACTGAAAATAATTGCTATTCCTCAAATAAAATCCTGTAATGTATCTTCTCTGTACATGCCAAATTTCATCATAATACATTGTTTAGTTTGTGAGATGTTTATAAAACAATGTCCTTGACCGGGGACATTTTTTGCATTAGTAAAATGCAAAATGAGTTTTAAATGACAGGAGGGCCGAGCTGTTTCTCAGAAGGACCAGGAAATGATTTTTCTGCAGTTTTTGCACATGAAATAATCCCCAAAATCATTTAAATTGAAGATCGCAGCACCTCAGGTTAAAGACAAGCATTCAAGGTCGTAATAACTTGTAGACTACTATCATTATATCATACGTAGCATCCGTGACATCATGACTACCACTTGATGTCAGAGAAGAAAAAAATCACTGCCTTATGCTTTCAATTGTGTAACAAAGAAAAACTGCACATGATTGCGTGCATGTAGCAGTGATTTTCCACAGCAGTTTTCTGATGGCAAGTGATGAGGGAAATTTTTTCAATCAACACTTTTACAGGATGAGAATATCATGGAAGCACAGCTACATAAATCAATTTGCTAAAATATGCCCACAAAAATTGGTAATCACAGAAAATTGCCACCACCACACGTGATCACAAGTTAATTCAAATGTTTAAAAACAGTAAAACACATACACAAACTTAAATACGTAAAATGTAAATTACCTCCTTCACCATAAAAAAGAAGAATGTTATAATATTTTGTTTTGGCTTCATAACATAATTCCTGCATTTCACAACATATTGCAGCCAACGCCGTGATGATTTTATTTAAAATTTTATTATCGGTAGATATTAATTCTAACAAATTAGTTCTTTCATATGGCAAGTACTGCAAAATAAAAATTAAAAAAAAAAGTTAATTTATTCATTATTATAAATTATTTTATTAGTATTAATTATATTAATACTAATAAAATAATTTATAATAATGAATAAATTAACTTTTTTTTTTAATTTTTATTTTGCAGTACTTGCCATATGAAAGAACTAATTTGTTAGAATTAATATCTACCGATAATAAAATTTTAAATAAAATCATCACGGCGTTGGCTGCAATATGTTGTGAAATGCAGGAATTATGTTATGAAGCCAAAACAAAATATTATAACATTCTTCTTTTTTATGGTGAAGGAGGTAATTTACATTTTACGTATTTAAGTTTGTGTATGTGTTTTACTGTTTTTAAACATTTGAATTAACTTGTGATCACGTGTGGTGGTGGCAATTTTCTGTGATTACCAATTTTTGTGGGCATATTTTAGCAAATTGATTTATGTAGCTGTGCTTCCATGATATTCTCATCCTGTAAAAGTTTTGATTGAAAAAATTTCCCTCATCACTTGCCATCAGAAAACTGCTGTGGAAAATCACTGCTACATGCACGCAATCATGTGCAGTTTTTCTTTGTTACACAATTGAAAGCATAAGGCAGTGATTTTTTTCTTCTCTGACATCAAGTGGTAGTCATGATGTCACGGATGCTACGTATGATATAATGATAGTAGTCTACAAGTTATTACGACCTTGAATGCTTGTCTTTAACCTGAGGTGCTGCGATCTTCAATTTAAATGATTTTGGGGATTATTTCATGTGCAAAAACTGCAGAAAAATCATTTCCTGGTCCTTCTGAGAAACAGCTCGGCCCTCCTGTCATTTAAAACTCATTTTGCATTTTACTAATGCAAAAAATGTCCCCGGTCAAGGACATTGTTTTATAAACATCTCACAAACTAAACAATGTATTATGATGAAATTTGGCATGTACAGAGAAGATACATTACAGGATTTTATTTGAGGAATAGCAATTATTTTCAGTTTAATTACAAGTGAAAAATCAGTGGAAAATAGCCACCATATTCGTGCAGTCATGCTAAAAAAGAATTGTGATTACAGGTTCAGTTTTTAATGGCTACTTACATAGTAATTTATACTAAATGATATTTAAGTATTTTATGTATAAAAGTTCTTAAATTTAATTTAAAAAATTCTTTATCTTAAGAACCCAAAGGAGGTTTTCAAGAAGGAGATGCTCAAATAGCTATTGGAAGAATTATTTCAGTTATGCAGGTAGGTTAAACATGCTTAGAAAACTATTCGGTTTAAAATTAATATTGATATTTAATTAAATACGCATATAATAAAATATGTTTTTTTACAAAAACAGTGATAAAATTTTAAAGATTTACATACTAAATAAAGACCTAATGAAAAATTATTAGGATTGCCCAATTGAAAAGTGGACACATGTCGTATTTCATTGTGAAAAATAGCAATTGGTGGGTCACCTTACAGGTGGGTAAGCTTAACATAGACAAAGCACAGGCTGCATTAAGTATTGGCAGGAATAGATTGTACCTCCAATAATTAATGTTAATTGATTTAGTTATAATGGAAGCATCCAGAATCGAAGAACTGGCATTAGTTTGGTTTTTAGTGGCTGAAGACAATTGGAATGCCAACATCTATAGATGAGAACAATGCTATAACGAAGACCTCGAGTTCCTCCTATGTATTATTGCAGGAGATGAGACATGGTACCACCATTACACTCTTGAAACAAAGAACATGAGCAATAGTTTTGAAGAATTTTTTTTTACCAGCAGCCATCAGAATTTATGCAAGGGGAATCAATCTGCTTGAGATGCTGGGATCTTTGCCTAAACGAACAATGAGATTTCTTTTAGATTTGTAATAATAATTTTTTAGTTCTAATGTGTGTCCACTTTTTATTTGGGCAACCCTTATAGTTTTATTCTAATGGTTAAATTCAACCTAATGATTCAGAATAATAACTTAATTTTTTTTTGTTTAGGAGTTGTCCTGTTTTGTTAATCGTTGCAACTTAGTAGTAAAAAACACAATCCATCAAATGGCATCTTTGTATACAAATAATAAAAATGGACCTACACTCATTGATGTTACAGATGTTCATTTCCAGGTAAACTGATATTTTCATTGATCAATGATAAGTCAATAGAACATTTTTGATTTGAGCTGAATAATTTTTTTGTTTGTTTGTATAATAGCATGTTTTACATACAGATAAACATATTGAGTTAAGTTTGAATGGATGTATAATTATTATGTTTGAATGTCTAAGCAAAACAATAATTTGTTTTAACGAGTTATTTGCATTCAAACTAAATAATTTTATCTATTAATCTAATACATTTATAACTTTTGTCAATTCTTATATTAATAATTTAACAATTAGGAATTTTGTGTTGTTGATTTTTTACATTGTAATAATCTAAATTCATTAATAGAAATAGAAATATTAAAGACATGCATGATAAAACATAACACTGAGCATTGTAAAAGTGATGAAAAATACAAATAGAAAAAAAAATAATAAATGTAGTATGTCTGCTTTTGAATATAGAATTTTTAATTTTGTATTTAATAATCATATAAAAATTTATTTTAATATATTGTGATAATTTGAAGAATGAATCTGAATATATCGTTCTTCTTATATAGACGGTATACAAACATTTGGGAGAACTTCTGACCACATTAATTACATTAGATGAAATCATTGATATTCAAGTCACATTAAGAGAACATTGGACTTTATACAAAAGAATGATAAGCTCAATTCATCATGATCCAACAAGATTTGGAATTACTAAAGAGAAACTGTTGCCTTTTGAGAAATTAATTTCCCGACTAGAAAATCAATTACTAGAGGGCAGAATTTTCCTGGTCTGTTATTTTACAACCAGTTTTTACTTTTTTGAAATTAAATTCTTGCTTGATGATGATTTCAATTTCAACAGGTTCTTACAAATTGAAATTTTCAGAGTTGCATGGAACAAGGTTATGACGACGGAAAAGCATTTGTTTCAAAAAACAGCTACTTTGCGGAAGAATTCTTTTTGAATATAAAAAATTATTTCATGCTTATTGAGCCAAAAATAGGTAAAATTTATTTTAATATAGAGTTCGTTAATATAAAAGATTGAGTCAAATAAATTGTATTTTAATAGGAGACAATGCTGAATTAAATGCAAGACGAAGAATTGTAGATATCTGTGCTTTGTATGTATTGTACTACTCGCTCTTTCGGATTGTAGATAAGAAATTCTTCAAATCGTTATGGGATGTATATAAAAAGGTAAATCTACTTTAAAAATTTCATTATGAAATCAAAATTATGTTGTATGTTTATTTTATATAAATACTTCTAAAAAATAAACTCTTAAATTTATTATTTTTAATTATATAATGTTTTTAAGATATATTTTCAAAATTTATTAATCATAAAATGTGTAGTAATGAACAAGAATGAATTACCACAATATGCTGATTGACATTAAATATCATTGCATTTAGTTATGTCTATAAATAAGATAATAAACACACAAAATTATTTTGTAAAATAATATAGTAGTATACAAAAGTATATTTGTGTATTATACAGTAAATGATTTATACAGTCTACACGATTTAAAGGTAATTGAGTTTTTAGCAAATGTCCTTGTTATGAGAATATTGGAATAATAGTTTTGTTCGTATGCATTGACGTAAACAGGAAGGATAAGACATTGCACTATGACACAGATTCAAAGCTTATTATTATTATGACTATGTAATTTTTTATTTTGAAAGAACATTTTTTAATTAAAAAGCGTTAAAAATTAAATGAGGATTTTATATTTAGTGGTTATATAAAAAGGTAATATCATGTTTGTGAAATTTACCATATGTTTATCACTTAAGGGATTTGACCAGTATGATTCAAAAATTATGAAAATTCAGCTTAGAAATATCAGATTGAGATGGACTGAAATCTGAGTAAGATCTGTATCCTGTAACCAGAAGTAGTGACAAATCACATGAACTATAATTCGTATTATATTAAAGCAACATTTTATTAATACAGATGGAGTTTTTGCGCATTTTTCTTTCCTGGCTATTATATATAACAGAAGGAAAGTATGGTGATTGGTCAAAAATGACCCCCCCGAAGATTTTTACTTATTTTTACTCGAGACTTTGAAACGTCAAAATGCAAAAAAAAATTCAGGAGTTTTTTCTGTGTATGGATGTTAGCGTGTATGGGACACGATTTTGTTCACTTTGTTTGAAGCTTAATAATTCCTGTGCTTTTTGTTGAAAATTTCTGAAATTTTGCAAGGTGGTTTGTGTATTAGGGAGATTGATGCTATTAAATTTTAAAGGTGGTTAAAGGTTGACAGTGTGGGGTGATAAAGGGGACATGTGTAATCATCTGTAGGGTAAACATAATGACAGTTTTACTCATTATTATTTATAATGTTTTATAAAACCCATCCCTACCCTCAAAATTAATTTTTTTGCCGTTTTAGAATAGTTAAAAATATAAAAAATTCTTTAATAAAATATTATAACAGCAAATTTTAATATATTGTATTCAAATGTAGCTTTTAAATTGACATTTTAATAAAAAATTGTATGCTAATTTTTTTCATTTAGCTTCCTGGAATTCATTTAGTTGGAAATGTGTTATGGTTTCCAGATCAGTTTTTTGGAAAATTTTCTCCTATGATATCAATTATTGATAGAAAATCTCAAGAAATGGTTAAGTCACAAAGACAGTTATATTTACAACAGAAAAGTCAATCACTTCCAAAGTAAGTCATTTAAAATGTTAAATTTTTAATTATTTTAAGGCTATTAATTACACATCGGATTGGACCATAAAACCGTCAAATATATACATTCTTGAGACAGAATATTTTCAATATCAATATATTTTCTTCTCAAGAATGAATATATTTAACTGTTTAATTCCAAAATTGTTTATTGGTATGTAATTTTGTTGTTTCATTAATTGTAAATAAAAAAAATTTGACTAACATGATTTAAAAATGAAATACACAAATAGCCACACATTTTATATTTGCTTGGAAAGAACACTACTAATACATGATTGAATACATGAAATTCAATTTGTCAATGATTGTTCTTGATAGTAATTTATTATTTTTAGAGGAGTAACTTTTAAAATATTTATTAGTAACTATAAAACATTATTATAGTTTTAATAGCTAATTGTTTATATATTGTATACAAAAAACATTTATATAATTAATACCTGATACCGCAGTTTTCAGGCTTGGAGTTAATTCATGCCAAGAATGTTCAGATTAATAAAAAAAAAATTAGGTTTCTACAGAATTCGGATATAAAAGCAGTAAAACAATTTAATATTTTAAGTGTAATAACTTTAAATGAATTCTGTAGATAATTCAGAAATGTCAGTTTTTTAAAAATCAAGAATTTTGAGCTCTAAAACAGTATATATGTTATGGACCAAGTGATGGACATTTTAGCCATTATGAATAATGACTAAAATTGCCGTGCAGCCTGATAAATATTGACTAATTTATTAAATTGACTAGACATTATGAATACAGCTACATTCCCTTGGGCAGTTTGATTTTTTTTTAAAAACCTCAAACAATTCTTAACGTTAGTTTCAAAAGTCTCTAAATCATCCTTTGTATTAATATTGGTCAATGATTTATCAGATATAAAATTCTTTAGTCCAACTTTTAACTTTGCTCCAAACATGACCTTATTAGAGCTGCAGTTTATATCAGTATGATGTACTCAATTTTTCATCAGTTGTACAAAATGTTATACTTTCAACCATTTGTTAGTGTTGTTAATCTCCAACCAAGAACTAAGCATATTTTCTATCTCGATTACATCTTTCTACCGAACCCTGACTTTGTGTACGCAGAGTGCTTTGGCTTTCCATGCACCAGTTTTAACTCTACACAATTATTTGATAACAAAATTCTCTGCTGTTATCACTTTGTAGAATACTTGGTGTACTGAAAATTGTAAAAATGTCTAAAAGAACCTAGGATACATCTTCAGCCCTTTTGGTTTTTAACGGACGTAGTTGAACGAATTTTGTCAGATGGTCTTGATACATGAGTATAAATTTATATTGCTCATTGACTTGTGAATGCATATCTTATAAGATCAACTTGACATCTTTAGTTTATTTCATTACTTAAAATTGGTTTAACTACCAAGCCTTTTTTAGGAACATTCTGTTTTTTCTAACAGGTTTCACATAAGTTCAAGTAAATAATGATTATATCTCGTATCCCTTGTAATATTTTTATATTTTGTACGTAATTCTTTTTCCGTACGGTTTATGTCACCGTGGTCAATAACAATATGGTCATCACACAATGTCTGAAATATTTTCTTCGTTGTGAACATATTTAATAAAATTACCTCCTTTTACATGCACAACTAATTTTTTTCTATTTGTACAATAGATATTTCATATCTACGTAAACATTGATATTCTTCTGGTAACTTCAAAGTCACTTTGATTTTTGACACACTCACTTTTTCTATCATTGTTAAAAATGCTGATTTTGTAAAAATTTCACTGTTTTGACCTTTTGCTGCTATTAACTCATTTAATCAGTTGTTAAAATGGTTATTCACTCATATAAATCATATCACTTAATGATTGCTCCATGATTGTTACTTTTTTCAAAAGATAATACACTATTTTAAGAGGCAAAAGCAAAATTAAAATGTAGCACAAGATTAACTATTGATCATATGAATTTAAAATTCGATACTGAACGCAGTACGCATGTGCAGTCGCGTGATTGATAATTGGCTAGTGTATATCGGTTGATCATTCCTCAAGGCATTACATCACTTTGCCTGACCAGGTGATATCAGTATTCATAGTGACCAGTGAATCTGATAAGTTATGATAAAAAACCTAAAATTTATTATAGTGCTTGATTTTATTTGTAATTATTCATAATGACCATATTAATCACTTAGTCCATAACACATACAATAGAGAGGTTTGTGGATTCTTAAAATGATCAAAAAGATTGTGAGCCGCCGGGGAGGTCAGAAACCGTCAACTCTCCCTCAAAAGATTGTGAGTCTTCAGGAAGGGTCAAGAATCCTGACCCTTCCCGAAGGGTCAGGATTCTTGTTGTCAGGTCGAGTGGAGGAGGTGAGAGGGGTCGTCGACGAGGCGTAGGCGATATACGAGTAAAAGGACACCATTTAACAATGAAACAACGATTTATTAGATAAACGAAAAGAAAAAAATTTAAAGAATACAAAAATCTAACATCGGGGAAGTGAATTTAGTTCACTAGCTCCTAACTCGCGGGGACAGAGTTTACATTAATTGTTTCATACCTCTAGTTTACTTCCATGTAGGTGGGAAAAATTTAGTTTTTTTTGCCGGTGATCGATGCACACAGTTAAAGTTTACCGGAGACTTAATCCTTTTAGACCGTAGATGTGAGACTCCCCTGAGGAGGGGGAAAGAAGTCACTTTTATAGCTTCGGACTGGAAAAATTAGTCATGTGATCACTTATTGTGAGAGGTAGGGTTGGTCCTGCAGGTGTGGAGGTTAAAGTTGTTCCCGGGACCCAAAACAAAATGACGAATTCGGACTTTAACTATAAACTTTTTGTCTTGCAACAAAGGAATGTCATTGTTGGAGGGTTGAATGTTTATATTAACGATGAAAGTTATCAGTNCTGTACACAGTGTATTCATTAATTTTCATTTTCATGTAGTAAAGGCTCTATGCCTTCATAAAGAACGTACTTTTCCTTTGTTTAAGGGTATTTGGGCAGTTTATTCTCTGTTATATTCTCAAGTAAACAATACATACAAGTACAGTACAGTATTTTCTGAGGAAACACTCATACTTATTTTTTTTTAACCCCATTCCCGATAACCCAGCATTTTCACAAACTCTGCCACCCTTCGGTCCACATTAGGCCGAGTTTTCAAGGTTCTACTGTGTTTTAAAATGTACAGTGAATCAATTGTCAGTCATTGCTTGTTAATGTTCTGTTAAATTAAGTTAAAAAAAATCAATTTGTTAAATTTAAACCTATGGATAAATTTTAAAAGTTTTATATATATAGAATTTACAAAAATTTTTATATAATAATTCATATTTAATTTGTTCAATCTGAAAACTGTTGTTCTAGAATGCAATTGATGTTCAAATCAGTAGATGATTAGTTATGTAAAGAACAAAGTTTTTACCATTATCATTCATGTTTATTAATTTTTCCTGCAAAAGTAGATTAAATACATTAAAATTGAAAATATATATATAGAGAGAGAGACAATATTTGACAATCATAATCAGAGATTCAAAAGTTATAATAATTCAGCAAAAAAGTTGTTTATATATAAAATTTGATTCATAATTTTATAAGAATCTTCTATACATATTAATAGTCACTCTCTGAATACAATTATATAGCTATTTTTTATATATCTTTTTGATTTGTAACATACAAACCTTTGTTGAAATAATGAAAAATGTCATTTTTGACTATATAATTAGTATAATTTTCTTTATTTGAATTTGTAAGTTTATCGACACATTTTGATTCAGTCTTAACTTTAAATCCTACCTGCATCATTTATTCTGCTACTTTTTAGCTTTAATATTAATGTTTTTACTTTCCATAGAACAAAACAGTGTAATTATGAATGATGTATAGTATATGTATGAGTTTATTTAATGCAATAATATAAACAGATAATAAACTTGGCAATGTGAATCATACTTATGTTACCAATGAAAAATTTTTAAGTTTTTATTGACTGTTTTTACGTACAAAAATTTGCATATTTACAAACCTGAAGAGAAATGGGATCAAGCGTCATGTCCCAAATATCACTGAGAGTTTCATCTAAAGCATGTTCAATTTCTTTTAATTGAGTTCCGTATTCTTCCATAAACTTGCCATATTTTTTCAACTGAACCTCGCCAATGATTTCTAAAAAAGAAAAAAATATAAAGCTTCCATGTTCCTTTATCTACAAAGAAGTTTCTTTTTAGAGTTTTTTGTTTCTCGAGAGTTTTCTATTAAAGAAANGTCCACTTTTCAATTGGGCAATCCTAATAATTTTTCATTAGGTCTTTATTTAGTATGTAAATCTTTAAAATTTTATCACTGTTTTTGTAAAAAAACATATTTTATTATATGCGTATTTAATTAAATATCAATATTAATTTTAAACCGAATAGTTTTCTAAGCATGTTTAACCTACCTGCATAACTGAAATAATTCTTCCAATAGCTATTTGAGCATCTCCTTCTTGAAAACCTCCTTTGGGTTCTTAAGATAAAGAATTTTTTAAATTAAATTTAAGAACTTTTATACGTCAAATACTTAAATATCATCTAGTATAAATTACTATGTAAGTAGCCATTAAAAACTGAACCTGTAATCACAATTCTTTTTTAGCATGACTGCACGAATATGGTGGCTATTTTCCACTGATTTTTCACTTGTAATTAAACTGAAAATAATTGCTATTCCTCAAATAAAATCCTGTAATGTATCTTCTCTGTACATGCCAAATTTCATCATAATACATTGTTTAGTTTGTGAGATGTTTATAAAACAATGTCCTTGACCGGGGACATTTTTTTTGCATTAGTAAAATGCAAAATGAGTTTTAAATGACAGGAGGGCCGAGCTGTTTCTCAGAAGGACCAGGAAATGATTTTTCTGCAGTTTTTGCACATGAAATAATCCCCAAAATCATTTAAATTGAAGATCGCAGCACCTCAGGTTAAAGACAAGCATTCAAGGTCGTAATAACTTGTAGACTACTATCATTATATCATACGTAGCATCCGTGACATCATGACCACCACTTGATGTCTGAGAAGAAAAATCACTGCCTTATGCTTTCAATTGTGTAACAAAGAAAAACTGCACATGATTGCGTGCATGTAGCAGTGATTTTCCACAGCAGTTTTCTGATGGCAAGTGATGAGGGAAATTTTTTCAATCAACACTTTTACAGGATGAGAATATCATGGAAGCACAGCTACATAAATCAATTTGCTAAAATATGCCCACAAAAATTGGTAATCACAGAAAATTGCCACCACCACACGTGATCACAAGTTAATTCAAATGTTTAAAAACAGTAAAACACATACACAAACTTAAATACGTAAAATGTAAATTACCTCCTTCACCATAAAAAAGAAGAATGTTATAATATTTTGTTTTGGCTTCATAACATAATTCCTGCATTTCACAACATATTGCAGCCAACGCCGTGATGATTTTATTTAAAATTTTATTATCGGTAGATATTAATTCTAACAAATTAGTTCTTTCATATGGCAAGTACTGCAAAATAAAAATTAAAAAAAAAAGTTAATTTATTCATTATTATAAATTATTTTATTAGTATTAATTATATTAATACTAATAAAATAATTTATATATAATAAATAATTTATATAATTACAGTTCATACATCTTTTATTTACATATATCATAACACTTCTCAATTTATTTAAATATCTAATTCTTGAGTAGCTTCTGAAATCGGGTACGTCACGTGCACGCATTTGTAAAATCCGTATTTTGAATAAGATAATATCGAGTTTTAAAATCCAACTGTGACAAATGAGCCAGAAACTCGAAATTTTTACTCTTAGGTAAAATGACAGATCCCAAAACGTATAAAGTGACATTATGTCAGGCATTTTGACATGACGTCAAACGAGTCGTTTGCTCAATTCTGGTTGACAATTGTTAGTTTTCTACCTTTCTGATATCATCAATGAGAGATGCAACAAACAACCAATGAACACGAGAAGAAAAACAGAAGGTGATATCAAGTACCAGTTTAATGAACTGTAGGAAAATGAATTCTTATTTATTGTGTGGGTCCTTCAGGAAAATCATTGTGCATTGTTTGTGAAAGTACTCTCTCAGATAATAGAAGACATTCTTAACAGACACTGTAGAAAATATCCAACTGAATTAGTAGTAGTTAGATGTTGAAAGAAAAGTTACAAGATGCATCAAAGAACTTTCCTATGATGTTACTGAGCAATTGAAAAATCGCATTCATGCTTGTTCTTTCTTTTCTTTAGCCTTGGACTTACCCGCTGACATGTGTCATGTAGCCAAATTAAACATTTTTATAAGAGAAATTGATAGTAATTTTAACATCTTTGAAGAACTTATCAGTCTTCACTCACTTCATAAAAAAAACCAGTGGGTCAGACATATTTGACAAAGTAAAAGCATATCTAGAAAATCGACAACTGGATTTTAGTACACTCATCAGTGTTTGCACCGATGGAGCACTATCAATTGTAGGTAGAGTTTCTGAGACTATGAAAGGTTTTAGGCCATACTGTACTAAAGTATCACTGTACTATATGTTGAGCGTCTTTGATGGAAAAACTCTAAATTTCAAGAATGTTATGATACCAGTTTAAACCAATTAAACAGAAGAGAATTCAGAGAATATTGTGAATTTTTAGATATGGAATATGGTGATCTCATCTTTTGTTGCGATGTACATTGGCTTTGTACAGGACAAGTTCTCAGTAGATTTTGGAAACTGAAAGACAGTGTAATTTCTGAGAGAAGGATGAGCTACATGAGAAAAAAAAGCACTGTTATGTGGTTAGAAATGGCTATTTCATTTACCATTTTTAGTTTATGTTACCATCCACTTCAATGATCTAAATTTGAAACCGCAGGGCAACAACAAATTGTTTCCTAGCTTAGTAAATGACATCAGTGCATTCAAAATTTAATTAAAACTTCCATATCCCAGTTAAAAAACAGGGATTTAAGTCAATTTCCACATTTAAAAACACATAGTGAATTTGTTGAAGATAATGGCAACCATATACTGAGAAATGCAGACTATTGCAAAAGTCCTTTAATGATTGTTTTAGCGATTTTGCCAAAGACGACGATGCATTTATAAATTCCTTTTTGCTTACTGAACAAAAAATCTTGACGATGCCTAGTAACATACAAATGGTATTTATTGATCTCAAAATTCTGTATTGAAAATGAAGTTTAATAAACTTCAATCATTCCCAGATACTTCTGATATAATTAATTTCTAGTGATCGTTGCTCTGTGAACATTTTCCAAATCTGAGAAAATTTGCTCAGAGTTACATCTGTTGTTTTGGAACAACACACAGATGCAAACAAGCATTTTCATCTACAAAAATGATTAAGAACAAACTATGGTCGCAACTGATCAATTCAAATTTGAAAAACTGATGCTTTCTGTAATTGATTTAGCTCCAAACCTTACAAGGTTAACAAATCAAAGCAATTTCAAAAGTCTCATTAAAGTAATTAATGTTTATCTTCTCATTGTATGAAATTACTTTTATTTAAAACTGCTAAAAGTGTCTATTTTACTGTATATATAATAAGTCATTTTATGCATAACTGTTAAATATATCCACACCACTATACTGTAAAAAGGCTGAAAAGGGGTGTAAGTTTGTATGGGGCACGTTAACTGAAAAATAAAAAAATTGATGCGCAAAATATAAAAGGTTGGCCATCCCTACTTTAAAAGCTCATTCCACACATTAAACCTATTTTATCTAAAGACCTATTATTTCATTTTCAGTTTTAACCACCAGACCCTATATTAACACACTGTTCACTCAATTGACAATAGGCTGAATCTCCATATGCAAAGAATATAATCTTCATTCTTGAACTCTGTAGTCATATCTCTTAAAATTTATTTCATATTACTAACTTTAGAAATGGAAGCTTTGTAAATTTTCATCATATCAAGCTTAACAATACAACAGTCCATTGATTTATAATAATTCACAAGAGAAATCTCATACTTCTCCAATGTATTGTCAATTGTTTTTATGAACACTTCAAATTGTTTCTGTTAATACTAATATTTTTTAAAACTTTAAATTTATTCTATTCAAAACAGCATCTATGCCAATAATTCAACACACCTCCAGTACTCAGTTGATATCAGTTACATCCTCGGACTATCTGCACTTCCAAATTCGCTTATTCTTCTTAAAATTACTCTTTAATAACACTCCAAATGACAACACTTCCTACATCTGTTACATTTACGTAATCTGTATTATTAACAGTGATACCTCAATAACATTCTAAGCACTGAAAAAAAGTCACCAATCTGATGCTACTTTTGCTATAACTTTACTGTATAAATATAGTAAATTTTTAAAGACAACTACTTTCTACTATTTTAAGACAACTACCCACAAAACTTAGAAAAACTGATCACCTCAAGGAGTGGTCTTGTATTATAAATGGTATAGTACAGGGGTCGGCAACCTTTTGAGTCGGAAGAGCCAAAAATTACAATTTACAAAATTTCAAAGTTTTTAAAGAGCCACAAAATTTTTTCTTGCCAACAATAAATAGTACTCGCATAAATAAAGTTTTTTGATAAAAAAAAAAACTGATCTATTTATTCAGAATTGTCTTGCGTCGAAAGAGAATTAAACCTCATAGAAACATTCGACGACGGCATCATTTGAGAGCTTCCGACGGACTGATCACAGTGACGACGCATGTCACGGGGGAGGAGTGCGATGAAAAGCAAGTACAAGTAGCTGAGAGATAGAATCGGTGCCAAATCCTCGTTAATCGATTCAGAACGATTTTTAAATTTTTTTTTTTGATGAAATAAATAATATTTGCATACGGAACTAAAGAGCCGCAGCTTCACATCCAAAGAGCTGCATGTGGCTCGCGAGCCGCAGGGTGCCGACCCCTGGTATAGTACCATTCAATAATCGTATAGTATATATAGTATTCTAGTGTAATACAATAAAATCCAGCAACAAGATGCTTAAGTTTCTTGACAACGTTTAAAACTGCATGTGGCACCATCTTTTATTAGAAATAGTTTGTTTTTTTTTATTATAAAAATGGCAGAAATCTTAATAAGAGGATAGGAATGGGTTTTATAAAGAATTGTAAAATGCTAACAACAAGTAAAATTGCCTTATTCAAGATATGACGAGCGACCACCTTTACCTTCCCACCCTCTCGGCTTTTAACCATCAAAATTTAATAGCACCAATTCCCATAATACACAAGCCTCCATGATTACAAACAGTATAATCATTTTTTTTTTTATAAATCAATTCAAATCTGAAAACAGTTTGTATTAAACAAAAACTACTGTTCTAAAATTTAATTTATTTCACTAGAAAATTTTCAAATAGTTCAGCCTCAGCTGCGTCAAACAGCATTCAAACGGAACAAATAATTTTGTTTTTCCATTTTTTTATAATTCAAATTCTAAAGTTAAGTTTAACAATATGAAAGATTTTTAAAATTTAACAAAAACTAATTTTTTTTATTCATTCTTGATTTAACTGACTGTTATAAACAATAACAAAATTCTAAATCACAAGACGACTTAAAAGAAACTAGATGAATAGCCTTTGTTAATTGGACTCCTTAGGCTATAAAAAATAATTAGGCTACGTTAAACAGCCTTAGAACATAATATGGTGGACTGATTAACCTTTCGGCACTCGCACTGTTGTAAAAAGTACACCTCTCTTACTATTTCATTATGTTTATAGAGGTTGCACTAACAAATACATCATCAATGTTTATAGTAAATGTGGAAAAGAAAGAAATTGTAAAAAAAACAGCATGCAGAAAACTTTTTTTTTGTAAGTATGAATATTGCAGGAATAAATGCAAGAATCATTTTTATGACAAACAATCCTGAATAGTATCAAGGAAGAAAAGGAACTTTCTGAAAAACTTGTCTATACAGCTAATAAAAGAGCATCTTAAATAAGATCAGAACCTTCGTGCCTTACATGTGATATCGCAGTCTTTCTTCAAAAATATTGTCCCGAGAAACACCAAATGGAAGATAATGACTTGGTATGTGTTTCCAACAGATGTTTCACAAATGTAAGAAAAATTCTGCCTCCACAAGGTGTGAGAAATGTAAAAGGTTTATCCACAAACATGCAATCAATACAATACATCTTGGTAAAATAGATGCTTAATTCATAGAATAGCTGTCTTAATTGAAAAATAGTACAGAGAAATAAAATCAAATTTAAATTCATATTAACATATCAAATTAACAAAATAAAATGTTGTAAAAAGTACAACACACAATTGCTCGTGGAAAAAATTCTTGCACGTGTGACAAAAGGTTGAGAGAGAATAATTACTCAAAAGATTGCATTGATCAGAATGTTAAAAAAATAGAAAAGTTAACATGTACCAGAGTAATGCATTTGTTTAATCACAGCAAAACATTTAAAAATAATTTAAAAAAGGATTATAAAATATATAAAAGTTAAAGAAAATTAGCAATAAAGCTACAAGTAATCAATTTTTACTAGGTCACATCAATGTAGCGTGATGTATGTAAGAATTAAGCATGATATAAATGTAAAAACTAAGGAATATCGAGATTATTAAAAAACAACAAAACAATTATTTTTAAAAATGAAATAAAATGAGAATGCACTGAAGTCATGTGCACACAAACCCACTAATATGACCCAATGACTTAATATTTTCACAGTAATTATACATTTATAGAATTTAAATAATAGTAATCTACTAAAAATGCAGAAAAAAATTTCTTTATGCAGCAAAATCTAATTAAAGAATTGTAAATAAACACATCATAATTTAAAATAGTTTATGATACATAGCATCTAAAAGTGTTATGTCCTGAACAATGTCGTCCTCACGTTCGTGGTAAGCCGTGTGCGTATTTATACAGTAGAACCTCGAAAACTCGGCTCTCGATAACCCGGCACTCCAGATAACTCGGCCACACCCTGGCAGGGCAAAAAAATCTTTAGTTAATTAATTTTCATTATAGACAGCTTTATAAAAGTATAAAAGCTCTCATAAAGTATTTTTCTGAGGTCTGTCTTATCAGGTAAATTACTGTACACAGTGTATTCATTAATTTTCATTTTCATGTAGTAAAGGCTCTATGCCTTCATAAAGG